CGAACGCAGACTTGCAGTTTTGGACGCCTTTCAGTGCCACACAAATACCGGTGCAGTAGTTGTGGACATCGAGTCCCAGCACTTCGATGGTCTCGTCGCCCGATTGGAGCCAAAGAGTGTCGTCATCACCGATACACTTGTCAGGCATGGGATCACCCAATACGGGGTTGTCTTCACTCAACTCCTTGAGAATACTCGGCTGATTGAAGGACCTCTTGAAGAGAGTGCCCGTAATGATCACCTTCTCGTCACTCGTGGTGTCGTCCGTCTGTTCCGCCAATTCATGCAAAGCCAAGACATTCACATTTGGACCCCATTTCCGTTCAACGCTTTCCCTGATGTAGTCCTTCATCACATCCAGTCGTGAGTTATAGTATGGATAGTATTGGGTGTCGTAATCGTAGTTGAGGATCAAATAGTTGTCGTTCTTGTAGATGACATGACATTTGGCCACCGATTCACTCATTATATCACTAATTGTTGTTTCAAACAAAACTCAATTCAATAACAAATCACTAATTTTTGGCGCCTTTTGTGGCAAACACTCAATGAATGCCAAAACACTTTCATTGAGTCACGTGTTTCTCATACATATATAACGTGACCCTCTCTTCACATATTCTGTGATTTAATTAAATTCTATAATTTTATCACTTTTTGTGTTTATTTCAAAGCGCTGTAAGAATTTATTAGGTTTAATATTTAAAGGTTATTAAATTAATAAAAATGTCCATGCAGCTTTCTGTTTATTATGAATTTGATAGAAATAATATAGTCCTACATAATACACATATATATTAGACACAATGAATGAGGTACCAAGGTGAGCAATATGTGCTCTATAGATTATAGATTAAGTTATTAGATAAACTTTGACATGACCTGATCAAGATTGTAAGTACCGTGAGTAATATAAGCTAGCACGCATGAATATGCTAAAATGAGCATGGTGAGTGTTGATTTTGATTCACAATACCTGTTCGGACCCCCTCTGGGGTCTCATTTGACGACATTTATGGAGAAGTGATGGAAGTGTTGGATGAAGTGATGAATGCATGCATTCATTGTATTACATGTACTGAACTCTCTCTTCATTCATATGACAGTGAATGCAATACTAATGAAATTGTATTTGTCTTAAGCCTTAATACCATAAGTAATAGACCATTGAATAGACCATTGAATAGACCATTGATTTGATAGGAATTGAGTGATCAGTGAATCGCTATCTGACTCGAGAGTGAAATAATTGATTGCATTTGTGGTAAGAGTGGAGACCATGTATTCGGTATCGAAAGAGCATAAGGGAAACAAGATCTTCGCCAAAACCAGAAGAGGTTGCCATCATTTGATTGCATTAGCCATTAATTGTCATAATTAGTGACCAGTGTATTGATTGCATTCATAGCAGGTATACCTCAGAAGTTGGATAACCTGGAGACCAATACGAGAGACAACAACAATGGCTTCCGAAGAGACCTCAACGGCTTTCAGGCCAACGATTGTCTCAGGTTTGCAGAGATCTGTGGCCAAAGACATGCCATTTGCTAATGAGTTATGATATGTTGTGTCGGCAGCGGGTCATCAAATCCGCGGCCAGTGTTTCACATGAATGGCCGCAAGACTTACCACCAGCGAAGTCATAGCGAAATGGGGATCAGTGCTCACCACCAAGAAATGGTTCAATACATCCACGAAAGTCAGTCATTCGTTCCCTTACTTCTCATTCAACTGATGTTTTATTCAAGTCTTGAGAACCCATTAACTATTCATGACTTTTGAGTCCAAACACTCATTCATTCAAATTCACTATATATTGAGTTTAATTTGAATTAATTGACAAACTCTCATAAATATACATTTGTATGCTTTGTATGCTTGCATGCAATTTATTGATTCAAACATTTCAATACATATAATGTCCTCAAAAACAACTTCGACCGCTATTTCTGCAAACATTTGCTTTAATTATAATTTATTTATTAGTCATAAAACGGTTTCATCGAAATTATTATTCAAATAATGAAAACCTGATTAACGACTTGTTTGGTAGCACTTGAGGTCATTGGTGTCACTGATATCAGTGATATTGAAATACTTTCGTAAAATATAATATCGATTCTGAAGTTACAGTAAATGATGAGATTTAAAGTTAGATAATATAGTAATCCGTTTATTGCTTATTTAGACCTCAAATAAATTCAAATGAAAAGGTTTCACTTTTCACAACTTATTTATTGATAGAATTGGAAAGTGTGCTATTCATTTATTGTATTACCGGTATCATTTATTCCCCGCTTATTGTAAACTTAAATTATTTATTAATTGGCTTAAAATTAGAAATGACTTAAAACTAAAACTAAAAAATTGTATTAAAGGCTGGAAATGCGTGAAACGAGATTTGGACACAAATGTGAGACATTCAGTGAGTGGAGACCACAAGAACTCGAACATAAAAGAGATAAAAGTGCCTCAAATCAGTTATCATAAACTCGATAAGACATCACATCTGCCAAGTAATGCATGAATTTAATTGTTTGTTGTATGCATTGAAATGTTGACTAATTCAAGACAATTTGTACCAGAATTCGAGCCCTTCGACCTCGAGAGCTTTTGGGGACAAAGACTTTTCCAGAATATCACTCAATCCACTTAAAGTCGTCGTCTTTTAAGCTTTTATTTCATTGATTATTGTGTTCTTGATTTGAGTTTTAGTTTTTTTTGGCAAAAATTGATTTAAAGCACGAAAAATAGTCAATTCATTCCAATTTGACTCAAATTTATCTTTATTTTCAATGGATATCTCATCATTTTGTTTGATTCAATTCGTAGAGAATTTAAATTTGTTTTCATATTTTGATCAATAATTTAACAAAAATTAGAGTACAATTGTTTAAAGAAGTTTTTATACAAAATAAAATTGTGTGAATAATTTCCTAATTTAATAATTAGTTATTCAAATGCATTATAAATTTATATAGGTTTTAAGAATTTATTTCTAAACATTTAGATATTGTTTTGATTTTTGTATAGTTAAGTAATGAAATGCTGTAAATAAACTCAATTTTGAATAAATTCATTGTTTAATAAATTCAATTCAATTATTATTCATTTTATGTTTATTTCTTATGAATATATAAATAAACCAATTATTTGTGAAATGTATGCCACGAATGGTCTATTCTGTCAACATTTTTTCGCCAGATTTACATTATATTACTTTTAATATTCTCATCGCTTATTCTTTTATTGTTTTATCTTTTATTTGAGAAGTAAATTGTATTTGAAATAAAAGTTATAAATCCTTATACAGGTTTAGAAAATCCATTTACCTGAATAGTTTACAAATTAGACATTGAACACAAGGCATCTCCCTATTTATACCCCTTTTAACGATAAACTACAATATGTACAGCTATTTACCTGTTAAACAAATGCAAATTACTTTTGT